TGCGTGCGTGCGTGCGTGCGTGCGTGCGTGCGTGCGTGCGTGTGTGTGAGAGAGTGTTCAAAGGGTTTTCGTAAAGGTTTTTTAAGGATGCATTTAATAGTTTCCAATGAGCATTTCATGAGGGCTGCATGAAAGATTAAACTGTTTTCACATATGTGCCATAATGCTTACAGTACATTGAAGAAAATGCTGGAATATTTAATTTATTATGTTTGCTTGAATAAGTCTCTGTTCCTCTGTTTATTTTTTGTTGTTTATAAAATATATAAAAATATAAATTATATATTTATATCCATGCTGAAGATTTTGTTTGTAAGGCAGAAGTCTCCAGAAGTGATTGTTTTTGAGATAGTAGTAGGAAGTATAGGCAAGACAGAAAGACATTAGGCTCCTGCTTCTTGTTATGATGTGTGTATCTGCATATGTGACCAGGAGAAGATAAGGAAAGTTTTCCTTAGATGCCCTTTAGTATCCCCGACCTCATAATCCAACCACCACTGGAAACAGGCCAAGAGATAAAAATGCAAAAAGCTGCTGGCCACGAACTGTTAGGTTTTACTGCACAGGAGACATAAGGGATATCACTGGCTGACTGCTTTCTGGTCAGAATCCACAATCACAAATCTCCCTCTTGTGTGAAATCAGCTCCGTAAAGCACAGAGGGCTGTCCTGGACTCACACACTGCTTTGTGTTCCTAAATGATGGGCTCTTTGGGTCCTATTAAGTTTCTCTAGAGTCAGTGATATCTCAGTAAAACAGAAAACTCCAATGTCTGTCTGTGGTACATTATATAACATTGTGTTGGCCATGAATTGATATGCTCCAGTGGGGTCCAGCCGCAGCACTGCCTGAGGGGTGGAATATCTGGTCAGACCAGAGATAATAGAACCCACCCCTGTTTGTAATGGTGAAATGTGTCTGCATTACATCACATGCTTAATGCTTTCTGAGTCTTTAAAATGCCACACCAACTCAATCCACAGTCCTTTTCATTTTAATGCCATGTTGTTTTTATTTTCTTTTATGTGTGTGTGTGTGTGTGTGTGTGTGTGTGTGTGTGTGTGTGTGTTATTTTTTTTCCATGCCATATCCTGTATAACATTCTGGTTAGGGTTTGTTCAATCATTTTCTCAGCACAAAGTGCTTAAGAGACTCTTTATACCTGCATGTGACATCTATTTTTCACATTTGTACATTTTATACTTTTTTTAATTACTACTTTTTTTACTACTAGTATTACTACTTTTTAGTAGTATTGATTTGTTTCCCCCCCTTTTACATTCTATTTACATGCCCTTTTCTCATGCATATATTTAACAGTGTATATCTAATTTTACAATCATTTTCTCAGCACAAAGTGCTTAACAGACTCTTTATACCTGCATGTGACATCTATTTTTCACATTTGTACATTTTATACTTTTTTTTAATTACTACTTTTTTTACTACTAGTATTACTACTTTTTAGTAGTATTGATTTGTTTCCCCCCCTTTTACATTCTATTTACATGCCCTTTTCTCATGCATATATTTAACAGTGTATATCTAATTTTACAATACACAGTGATTATGAGCTGTGTGCAGCCAACAGAAAACAAGCTGTTCAATGTCATAACAATGACAGAGCAGCTCTAATACAGCATTTTATTTACACCGAACCAAAGCCTACAAAACTATTTTTTGCCATATAAGCATCGGTATTTCCTTTGGGAAATGCAAATCTTGTTTGTACTATATCACTGTTATGTCAAACGATTATTGTTTATGGTAATGTCTTTATCATTTTTGTCTTATATTCTCATTCATTTATTTACTCTTTTGTTGTTTTGAAGGGTGGGGGGTGTTCATCGCTCAAATACAACAGCAGCAGATTTCAAACCTACCAGCAGGTGAGACAAAGCTTTACAGACTATGCATCTGTATTCTTCCCCTCTCTGTACCCTTTCAGTTGCATCTTCTCAGAGCTGCTATAGATGTTAGTGTTGAAAGTGTTCAAAGAGCGTCTCTATTCTTTTACTCCCAGTGGTGATAGTTACTGACGGCCAGTGGCTTTTCTTAATGTGGACTGTAAGTGTCATTGCATGAACTCTAGCACAGCACGACCACACCATTTCTGCTGCTGCTGATTATTTTTACCGGCTTGTTTTGTTCCTTATTAGGCCCAGCTGTCTCTGTTGACACGACTTTAGAGGGTAGAAGAGATGCACACGCACAAGTACACATAAACTGGCTAAAACGTTTTGCAAAGTACAATCAGAGTGGTCATTTACCCTGTTCTGGTCTCATCTAGTCTGTGCTGCTCCAGTATAGTCACTCCTAGTCTGGTTTTTTCGTGTTTTGTCTTGTCTGGCATTCTTCGGTGTGATATCTGTCATCGTATTCTCTAACTGCTATTTGCTTGAAGACTAAGGATTGGTTCACACAGAATCCGTTTTTGTGTTCCACTTCATTGCTTTTAGTTTTTCTATGTAAACAGCTGCTAAACGGACAACTTTGACAATCGCGGTATGTCTCACTGCTTTTTTAGCGTCTCGCGCATAAGCTCCCTGTTTTGAAGACACTGTGAAAGGTTTAAAGAGGTTCAACTTTTAAAAACATATCTCAAGACCTTGCCTTTTTTCATTCATCAGCACTGCAGCTCTACAGTTGGATACTATTGTGTGGCATCTCGCGTTTTTGAAAGCAAAAATGCATTCTTGTGTGAACGGCTCCTCTTAAAGGGATAGTTCACTCAAAAAATGAAAATCCTGTGATCATTTACCCATCGTCTTGTTCTTCTGTTCAACATAAAAAATTATATTTAGAGCAGTGTCTTAGTTCATGCAATTACAGTAAGTGGTGTTTAACGTTCTATTACAGAAAAAAGTCATAGATGTTTGGAATGACATTAGAGTGAGTAAATGATTTTAAAAATATATATTTTTTTTTTTTTGGTGAACCGTCCCTTTAAGGGATGGCTTCAACAAGGTATAGACACACACAAAGATGGGTTGTTCAAATTGTGACAGCCAGAAAACCTCATCAATCTGTTCTCATACAACATTATCTCTTGCAGTGCCCATATTCTACAGCTCATCAATGCCTCAAATCAGCTTAATGTGCTCGAAAGTTTGATTAAACCAGCAGCTTGTGCTCTCTCTCTCTCTCTCTCTCTCTCTTTCTCTCTGTGTGTAGCTCTGTCTACCAGGGAAATTGATTAGGTTTCTGCTGTTGTTGGTTTCATTTTGAATAAGAGCCGTAATTAATTGATGCATGTTTTATGTTGTTTTTCTGTCATACATAAATGAGGGATTTGTATTTTCCTCTGTAATGGAATTATAGCCAGGCCCATGAGTAAACTCTCATTCTGAGGCAGATTTACATCTGAACACTGATATTCAAAGCAAATAACAACAGGAGAAAGCAGAGCTCGAGTGAGAGATTAGCCCCTTGTTTCCTGTGCAGTCTGAGCGAACCACCTTTAATGTGGTGTCTGCAAATGGTAAATCAGAAGGAGCATAATAAAGGTTATATTGATGAGGAGAAGTAAACAAGGAAAGATACGCTAGAGCAGCGGGGGCATTGCAGCCTTCATTATCAAGCTGGTGCCTTGTGAGCTGAGCTTTGACCTTTAAAACCTTCCTACTAGGGCTGTGCAAAAAATCGAATGCGATTTTCATGCGCATCTCATCAGTAAAGCCACTTCTGGTGATTAGTAGTAAATCTCCAGCACGTGCTTTCAGATGGAGCGGCATTTACTACACTGAGCCGTAGTTCACTGACAAGCTTTGACAAAGCACTGACAAAGCTCTGCTTTACTGACGAGATTCGCATGAAAATCGCATTCGATTTTTTGCCCAGCCCTACTTCCTACATTTAAGTATATTGAAGTTTCCTCTAATGGTATTGTATTCACAGCACAGACCATCAAGTACCCTCATTAAGATCTGCTTTTGTTTAAAGAAAGACTTCTGCTCATAAATCTCAGTGGTGATTAGAGGAGAACATTACAGTCCACAATCAATAATAAAACTAGATCGCAAATGCGATTTGTCGTATTTGTGAGAACCGGTTGGAGCTGGTGATCTGGCTGAGTAAACACCAGGCCGGTCCAGATTCAGGTTGCTGTGTCTCTCTAGAGCTAATAAGGGATTTCTGGACTCATATCGAATAATTGGCCCAATGTCACATTTCTACCCTTTCTGTAAATGTGCTAAATTACTAGCAATGACAGCTAGCAAAAACTCAGTGACTCCATTAAAGCTGCCGTGAGCTATTTTGCAGTGTTGATGATGTGTGAGTGCAGGGTGCATGTTAGGGTGACTTTTTGAGAGTGGATGAGTGTGTTGTAAAAGCAGGCTGAGGAACGTCAGTAATTACAGCTGCCGTCTGGGTTACATACCAAGGAATGGTTTACACATGTTTAAACACTGGATGATCATTTAAGCTGGGGGAACAAACCACTGCCATCTTTTCCTCTGGGACATGATGGTTAGAGAGATACATTTGCCCTGATTCGAGTCACATGCATCAAGCTCTAATAATACTTAGAGATTTGAGTGACATCATCAAATCTTTCCTCTTCATGCACTGTAATGTGAGTCCCAACTCGCCTTTTTCCATCTGAAGAGGAAGAGGTTGTATCTTAGCAAAATGGATTTAGCTGAAAATAAATGTGGATGCTGATCACTTCAGCAAGAGTAGCTCAGTGATGGATGAATCTGTAGTTGTGTGTTTCTTAGTGGTGCAACGGATCACAAAATTCACGGTTCGGATCATGAGGATTTTGAGTCACGGATCGGATCATTTTTCGGATCAGCCAAAAAAATTAAAAAATACTTTTAAGTACTTCTATACCACAGCAAAAACTACTAGCTTAACTAATAAAGTTAGTAATAAAACAAGAACAATTACACAAATTACAAGCATAGATGAAAACAACAAATCAGTTACAAATATCAGAATTTAGGTGCAGAAATGTAATAATTAAGTTTAACACAATAGTGCTCACTGCACAAGTTAAATACAGATTAATCTTTGTTAGAGCTGTGGTGTTATTTGATTAGCAGACAGAAACCGGTATTTATTGGCTGCTGTCTTTAAGACCAAATGCACTGCCCTAATACTGACACACATCCGTTTTCTTTCTCACCTGCTTACGTTCACTTAAGACATAACCGACTGTGTTTACTAGAATACTTGCCAAAGCGGGTATTTTAACATAACTTTGTGTGTATGTGAAAGAGGAATCACGTGGTGTCTGAATCGCGCCTCTCTCTCTGCCGTGCGCAGCGGCTGAGCGCACAGAAAAAAAGCGTGCGAGTTAAAACCGCTTGAATGTGTAAACTGGCAAGACAAAACATGTGCAAATGATACATTTTCACTCTATGATGATTAAACTTAACAGTTAATCCGCGAATCACATGCGTGCCGAACCGTGGGGCCTGGTCCATACGGATCACGGATCATCTACGATCCGTTGCACCCCTAGTGTTTCTCAACTGTAGTGCTGCTGTGAACTTTCAGTAACACAGGAAGAATCTCTTCCTGCTGCTCTGAACATTCCTCATGGCTGACCAAAGATCAGTGTATTTGAACATCATTTGTCATGATAGAGCTATATGAGAAATAAATTATGATTGATAGAGATGGTTTTTGATAGCTGAGACGAGTTGTGATTTGTGGTTTCAGGGATCTGAAATCCCCTTGCCTGAGCAAATTTCTCTGCCTGGAGTCTGAACCTCAGATGCAAGGCTAGAGGAGGCATGGAAACTTTACAGCAAAGGTGTGTGTGTTGAAAATACATGTCAGAGCCCAGATTTATGAGCCTGTGAACTGCTTTTAATTATGGGACACACTCAGATTCCTTAGCAAGGTTAACGCTCTTTCTTCCTATCTCTCTCTCTCTCTCTCTCTCTCTCTCTCTCTCTTGTGGCTTTGACTTAAGTGTTCGTGAACTCCTTTACCTTTCCCTCCCTCTTTTTCTGTCTCACTCAATTTGAGGCAATGTGTTCGAAGTGAAACAGGTTTATTGTTTTTCAATTGACCGTAATCTGACCTCTTGACCTTTGACCTCTACATTGCACTTCATTATGATACACCAAAGAGTCAACTCTTATATGAAAAGCTGTAGGAAGCCATTACATATTTCCTTGTGGTGTGTTTCTGGTGAAGAAACCCATCTCAGAGCAACACTACTTCAAGCAATGTTCAGGATCCAAAGCCCTGTGCGCCACATGTCTCTATTTCTTAATGTCCCAGCCTTCATAGTGTGAGGTGGGGAGCTCCTTGATCAAATATTCTTTCAGGTGAGAGCGCACAGAAGATGCTCCAGTCAGGGGAAGAGACAGAGAGGAGGTGTACTTTGGCTGCTCCTGCCCTTACCGATCAGCAATATTTTGGGGGAGGAGTTGAAAAAAGAACTGTCAAATCGGACACTTGAAACTTCTCATAGTGATAGACGCACAGTGTTTGCATACTTTGTCACTGACAGAGTGGATTAGATTTCATATTCTTGAATTTTATGTGTAGTACCCAGAAACACTGTTCATTGAATAGGTTAAGTGCTTCTTAATAGAGAGAAGTATGTTTAAAGGGGTCATGTGATGTTGCTAAAAATAACATTATTTTGTGTATTTGGTGTAATGAAATGAGTTTATGCGGTTTAAGGTTCAAAAAACACATTATTTTCCACATACTGTACATTATTGTTTCTCCTCTATGCCCCGCCTTTCTGAAACGCGTCGATTTTTACAAAGCTCATCGGTCTGAAAAGCGAGGTGTGCTGTGATTGGCCAGCTATCTAGTGCGTTATGATTGGCCGAATATCTCAAGCGTGTGACGGAAATCACAGCGTCACACACGGTGGCCTAGAGTGAGCGGCGTCGGCCTAGACTGAGCAGAGGCCGGGGGCTAGAGTGAGGAACGGGCGGAGGGCTAGAGTGAGCATTGGCGGCGGGCTTGAGAACGGTGCGGCCGGCGGATTCGACGAAGGAGCGTCCGGAGGGCTTGCGGCAACCACATGTGACGACCCCGGACTGGACTCCGCTTCGTCCATGGTGAAAGCCGATCCGGCGATCCACAGCGCAAAGTTGTTGTATTTCCTCAGCAACCAGCACAGATCAGCTCCAGGCATGACGAAGCGATATCGTCCTCTTTTGGAAGGCCAAACAAAGTAGTTTCGCTTTCACAACGAAACACACGGCGCCTTCACAACATGGCGGCGGCGGCAACAATACTACAGCGAGAATAAAAGTTACGCCTTCTTTCTTTGCGTGAACATTTGGGCGGCGTTATGCAAATCTTCCCACATAGTGACGTAGACATGTTGGGGGCGTGTTAGAACGAGCCGTTTTAGGTAGGCGTGGCTGACTCTTAACTTTTATAAAGAATATCTCTTTGGATTTGAGACTTTAGTCTTTGCAACTTTACAGATCTTCTTTATGCACCAAGAGCTTGTAACACTCCAAAGAGAAAGGAAAAATTTAAATCGCATCATATGACCCCTTTAAGATAAGCCGTATTATATAAACACTATCTTTATCAGTTTTATTTTGATCAACATAACATTTGTAAGAGTATGACATTAAGATTACATCAAAAGAGAGTTTACTGTTATAAAAACACTGATTTGTGAGCATTTGTGGAACTGAAGGTGTCAGAATATACATGAAATGCACACCATCGGTGAGTCTGACCAATCGTGAAATGGCTGTTATCATCAGTGCTCGTGGAGCCACTCTGGAAAAATTATGCTGGCTGATCCAGCCGACTGCTCTCGAATCGCTCCTGTGGTACTTTGATGGCATCAGCACCAAGTCAAAACCAAATTTCTAACCAACATGCCCTGCTCAAGACTCCGATCGTCCTGCGCAGTGCCATATGAAGTCAAACAGACCTCATGTCACACAGATAGCATTGCAGTGACATTCACAGAGTTTGGGTTCTCGTCTCAATTCTTCTCTTGCTCTTAGAGAAGAATATTATTAAGCTCATTTGTAGTCATCATTCTTTTGCTCAATTAATCTCTTGAGATGTTGAATGTTGAGAGGGGGATAAAAGAGTCTGCATGCATGTGCATTGTAGCTATTCTTTAGGATAATTTGAACAGCATCATCAGGAAAAACATCAGGAGATGATTCAAGTTTTCATAGTGAATCAAGATATAAATATAAATATATATTGATATAAATCAAGATGACGCCGGTGTACATGGCGTGCCGTCTACCGGCTCTGTGCGTCTTTGTTCTGTTCGTTCTTTTGATATCCTGCCTCACTCAACAAGTATCTTCATTGTTTATCTACGATCGGTCTCAGCTTTTATCAATAAGAGCAACGGTGGGTGCTTTTAAAAATGATTTTAAAAGACCTGGTTTTCTCCCACCATACCTCTTGGGGAATATACCTGTGCACCTGTGCTGTTCTTCTCCCAGCGCTCGGAGACGACGAGGGAGGAAACGAGGAAAGTGAGGTGGCCTGATCGTTACATTAAAGCGGGCCTTGGGCGGTAGTGAACTACGAGCCGTACTCCACTCGTGTTAGTCGCATGATGTCACCGGGAACAGTCGAATAATCAACCGACGATTCACGAAGGGCAAGCATGGCTGGATTTACCCGGTTCTGCCTGACAGTCCGGCCTCTGTTAGGCAAACGGGCTGGCCCCGCGTGTGCACGAGAGGCATCGATTCGCGGAATCTTCGCCCTCTTCACTGTGAGCGTCCAGAGAACTGTTAAATGTGATTAACTCTTTTGATTTGACACAATGGGACAAAGGATCAACTCTTTGGGACACACTAGATTTGGTTTTATCTTTCAACTTGCACATTCAGAATGTTGTGATTGATGAGGTGGTGTTTTCTGACCATAAGCCAGTGTTTTTTAATGTCTGCTTTGTTGAGAAGTCCACAGTGCTTGTACCAGAAAAAATATGGTCCAGAAAAATGAATTCCTTGACTAGTGGAGAGTTTGCCTCATTATATAGAAATCACTGTGAAACTACTCTATTTGAAGAGTCTCTGAAGAATTTAAGTGTTGATGAACAGGTTAATCACTTTAATGTTGTTTGTGCTGAAATCTTGGATAGTGTTGCTCCTCTTAAAGTTAAAAAACGTAAATGCAAATATCAGCCATGGGTAAATTATTCTACACGGACACTTAGACAAAAGGCTCGACAAGCCGAGAGGAGATGGAAAAAACACAAACTGCAGGTTCACTATGACATTTTTAGAGAATCTCTGTTGACTTTTCAGAAGGCCGCTAGATGTGCTAAACACAAATATTACTCCGATGTGATATCGCAAAATGCAAATAATTCTAAAATTGTATTCAAGATTTTAAATTCAGCCATAAATTCTGTACAAACTAGGTATCCTGATCCTTCCACTACTAAGTGTGAAGAGTTTCTTTTTTTTTTTAATAGGAAAATTGTTGATTTACATTCTAAGATACCGAAACCGCTAGTAGATCCGTCTTGTTGACTTGGCTTCTGCCTGCTGCAAGGAATGGACAGAATTCCACCCTATTACGTTTCCAGTTTTGGTGGACACTGTGAAGCATCTTAAATCTTCTTCATCAAAAGACAATGTTATGTCTCCCTGCCATTTCAAACAGGTTTTTGAGAGTGTTGAGACTACTGTGCTGAATTTAATTAACAACTGTCTCAGTCAGGGCATCTGTCCAGCTGGTTTTAAGCATGCTACAGTTCTCCCACTTTTAAAAAGGCCCAATCTGGCAGTGGAGGACACAAATAATTATAGACCAATTTCAAACCTACCTTTCCTTGCCAAGATATTAGAGAAACTGGTCTTTAAACAACTACAATCTTATACTACCTTAAAATCAATATGTGAGCCTTTTCAATCCGGTTTGAAGTCTGGTCATAGTACTGAGACAGTGTTGGTTAAAGTGCTAAATGACATCTATCTATCAACAGACAATGGCGAAAGTGTTATTTTAATTCTGCTTGATCTTAGTGCGGCATTCGATATGGTGGACCATAGGATTTTAATTGAGCGCCTTGAACATTGGGGCGGCCTAAAAGGCAATGTGCTGAAATGGTTTGAATCTTACCTTACGGATAGGTCTTTTTCAGTGAGAGTTGGGAACTGTAATTCTTCAAGATTACATCTTCCTTGGGGAATTCCACAAGGGTCAATTTTGGCGCCGTTGCTGTTTTCCCTCTATATGCTACCTTTGGGGGCTATATTTCGAAAGCACAAAGTATCATTCCACTGCTATGCAGATGATACTCAGATTTATCTACCCGTGAGAGGTTTTCAAAGCGGTGTTAAAAGCACATCTTTTAAAGACTAATGAGGAGTTGTTGTGATGCAGGTTTAGTTATTTTAAATTGTGTCCATGTTGTTATCTGATTTGTGTTGTAATTTGTGACTATGTTTGTTTTTATGTAATTTTATTGTGATATTGTGAAGCACTTTGGGCAACCTGGTGTTGCATTAAACTGTGCTATATAAATAAATAAATAAACAAACAAACAAACAAGTTGAGATTAAGGGCTTCACAGTGTGTGCATCAATAACTTCAGTTTCAGATACTTGCTGTGAAGAAGTCCTCTAAAAGATTTGTGTCAGTTGATTTGAAGTGTATCATTCACTCAGATGTTTCTGTTTCTCCCACAGGTTTGAGAAGAACAACCTGATCAATGCGAACTCTGGTAAGGAGTTTAAGTAGTGCTCTAATTTTGCTTTTAGCTCTTCAGTGAATGAACATCAAGTGAAATTTATCCAGAGTTTCTTTTAATAAAACATTTATAAATGGAAATGGAAACACAATGAGGGCTGAATTTTAGTCTTCTATTTTACGGCGTCTCCGGTCTCTGCGAGAAGCAAATTGGGACCTCTACATGTAGTGGAGGAGCAGCTCTTGCTCAATTAATCGTTTTTGACTTTCATTACATGTAAGTTGAGTGTTAAATGCTCCTTGATCTTCGTTCTTGTTCCTTTTTAATGAGCTGCTGCCTGTCAGGAGAGGGCATGTGCCAAGACTGGGGTGTTTTCCGCTCTCTTGGCATTGGTAGGGGAGGAAGAGAGAGAGGAGGAGGAAAGGACTGTCTCACAGTCTGTGAGGTGCGGCGAGGCAGAGCAGGTTATCATCACTCACATTGATCCACATTAGAATTCAACGCTAGCTCCAAAGCTTCCTGGCTTGAGCAGAGGAGGAACGCATTTCCAAAACCTGATTTGGCCCTGTACATGCTTTCTCTAGACAGGAAAAAAAAATTTATCCAGAGTTTCTTTGAATAAAACATTTATAAATGGAAATGGAAACACAATGAGGGCTGAATTTTAGTCTTCTCTTGTTGAGAACAAGTTAAAGTTGTACGGCGTCTCCGGTCTCTGCGAGAAGCAAATTGGGACCTCTACATGTAGTGGAGGAGCAGCTCTTGCTCAATTAATCGTTTTTGACTTTCATTACATGTAAGTTGAGTGTTAAATGCTCCTTGATCTTCGTTCTTGTTCCTTTTTAATGAGCTGCTGCCTGTCAGGAGAGGGCATGTGCCAAGACTGGGGTGTTTTCCGCTCTCTTGGCATTGGTAGGGGAGGAAGAGAGAGAGGAGGAGGAAAGGACTGTCTCACAGTCTGTGAGGTGCGGCGAGGCAGAGCAGGTTATCATCACTCACATTGATCCACATTAGAATTCAACGCTAGCTCCAAAGCTTCCTGGCTTGAGCAGAGGAGGAACGCATTTCCAAAACCTGATTTGGCCCTGTACATGCTTTCTCTAGACAGGAAAAAAAGACTCTTCAATTCCATAAAGTGGCCGAGTTTTGAAAGCTGGATTGGAGCGGGCATATCTTTAGACACAGGCGTAGATTTAGCCACGCAGTGCGCTCTACAGCGCGTGTTAACCCGACATCCCAGCTGGGTGTTTTCATATTTTACCTTTTGAGGTTTGTGAAGCAACACAAAAGATTGCTGGATTAGGAAGGCAAATCTACAAAGGGCATTGCAAAGCTTTGAACACAGATTTAGCATATTGAGACTGAACCCTCAGAGCCAGCATCAGCTAATGTGATTAACACCCGTAATTAAAATGGTATTTTTACTCCCTTTTTAACTGTCTGCTCCCAAAGCATTAAATAAACAGAACATCATCTTGTGTAACTCTGAATAACTTAATATTGAACAAATATGCATAAGCGATTTGTGCATGCAGGCAGTTTCTGAGTAATAATACCTTTAAATAATAATGGAGTCGTCAACTGTCATGAGGAAACTACAACAACTTACCCTGATTCTCTACAGTAAGCCTATAAAAATTATTAAAATTTTAGATTTAGCGGGAAACTGCATGCTTCCGTCATTTGTCTGTGCATGTTTGTCATATTCATAAATAAAGGAAAGAAGGTCAGGTTACTGCTGTATGCAGTGGAAAGTGTCATAGCAGCACCAATGAACGTCAAACTGAAAATGAATTGCAAGTGAAAGGAAAAGCAATGCCTGTAATAAAACTTAAAACAACAAGGTTTGGCTTTTCAAAAATATGTTTAGTTTGCATAGCATCACATTTACTAGGTTCATAAAAAAATGTCAATCTCTAAACTTTGGTATTTGCCTATAGTTACTTATTATAATTATAATTAATTAGCTAAGCTGTAATTGTTTCCATGTTTACTTTATCTGATATGAATAGCAATCGTTATGTCTAATGCCCAACTTTTGTAACTTTAAAAAAAAAAGGTTGTTTTAAATAAGGCAAAACAACAGCACCATAAAAGCTACTTACTGTACCTTCTTGTAATTTTTTTCTGGATATCTGTCTTTTATGTATGTATGTATGTGTGTATGTATTTATTTATTTATTTTTGGAGTCAGGTAGTTTTGATGATGTTAGTGACATTCGCACATTATGGTGCTTATGTATTCATTCATCTGTGCACAATAGTGGAGCTGAAGCACAACTCAAAGTCACCAAAACAATGTTCCTCTACAAGTTATGTTTGAACCACTAGTGTGTCAAAACTTACGTAGTGTAGCTTTAATTGCACGTAAGTAAAGTTATCAAAATACAGTGGGGAAAATATTTATTTGAACCCCTGCTGATTTTGTAAGTTTGCCCAGTTATAAAGAAATAAAGGGTCTGTAATTTTTATGGTAGGTTTATTTTAACAGATAAAGACAGGATATCAACCAAAAAATCCAGAAAAAAGATCGTCTTTCACCGTGGACGAAGCGGAGTCCAGCCCGGGGTAACCACATGTGGTTGCCGCAAGCCCGCCGGACGCTCCTTCGTCGAATCCGCAGGCCGCGCCATTCTCAAGCCCGCCCGCCGCCGCTCACTCTAGCCTGACGTGTTTTGAAGAAGAATTTGAGAAGAATTTGCCACTGACGATTCAAATGTGAGTTTTGAGTAGTGTAGAGTAGCACTTGTTGTTTGTCATTTCTCCGATCACAAATGCAGACATGGTTTTATGTTTACGCGGCGCGCTGTGCTTGCCAACAAGGGTTTCTGCACCAAGCACTAAGTCTTGTTTTGCTTGGGGATCAAATACTTATTTCACTCCCTGAAATGCACATCAATTTCTAACCTTTATATAATGTTTTTTTCTGGATTTTTTGGTTGATATTCTGTATCTATCTGTTAAAATAAACATACCATAAAAATTACAGACCCTTCATTTCTTTGTAAGTGGGTAAACTTACAAAATCAGTAGGAGCTCAAATAAACATTTTCCCCACTGTAAGATCCAGGATCAGAATTTAAAATGGCTTCATTCAGTTTAGCTATCAAAAACAGCACAATTATGCTTCAGTCTCAATTAACTTTATTATGCTAATGATACTTACTGTTCTGGTCACATTTCATCTGGGTAAACTCAGTTTTTGCTTTAATTACACTTAAGTAATCATATCAAAATAAGCTCAAGATCAATTAAAATGGACTCCTCCAGTTTAGCTATGAAAACAGCAATTCATAGCTGAAAATTGATACATGAAAATTTTTCAGTATCCATTAACTCTGTTTTTGATGCTGATGATGACATCCTTTTTTCACACATTTAATCACATTAAATCATGGTAAACATTGTTTGCTTTGTAATTATTTAAGTAAAAATGATCAAAGTAAGTTCAAGATCAATTGGCAAACTATAAAAAAAGAAAAATACCCATGAATCTCCATTAACAGAGTACTCTTGTTTGTCTAACAGTGTCAGCTGACAATCTAATTGAATGTGTTAAGAAGAAGGACCATCAGAAGGTAAGAGCAACATTTGAATACATTAAGCACATAAATACAATAACCTTGAATTTTTTTACCTTCTAGGTTTCTCAGATTTTGGTGTTGATTTTTAACAGAGGCTTTTTTTAACAAAATGGCTTGCAAGAGCATACACCTATTAAGATTTGAGATATTTGAGTAGGTAGCTCGGATGTTGTGTTTTACAGTGATTTAATATGCAAGAGAGCGCGATCCATGTGCTTTTAGTTAAATGTTCACTGGGCCTATAGGATATTCATTCTGTCATCTCTAACGCATGACTGACCTCACCATTAAATGTCAAGTATCTTGCAGAGCGGAGGCGGAACCAGATAAATGATCCTGCATATTCTATTGACCTTTCACTCTGTTCTTGGTTTCTATGGTGACCAAACAGGCTTTCTCTAGAATGATAATCTCTCACACCCAGCCCAAAACCTGTCCCCACTCGTAATGCCTCGGTACAGAGAGGAGACGAGGGGACATTTCAGGTATTAATAAGGATATTTGGCATGTTGCAATGGGCAGTGTACAGCACACAGCATCCTTTTCCTGCCCCAATATGTCTTCTTTAAATAAGCATCTCACTGCCCTTACAGCTGGACCATAGAACTATAAACAGTCAACTCTGACATTTAAACTCGCATGAAATATGCAGAACTACATTCAGACTCTCACTCACACAGACACTCAGGTGTGTGTAATTACCAGATTGTGGAGTGCAGAGAGTCCACTGTCTGGTGTGTAGATGGTGTCTTCTCCATTATCAGGAATCTCCTCCAAATGAGACTGAAAACTGGTGAATAAAAAACCTCTGATGATACTAATCTTTCTAAACTCACAGCCTAGGACTGGTGCTAATGCCAGTATTCTATGCCCAAACTCTCTCTGGTGTGTAAAAGAGTCCTGACAAATTTCTGACAGATTTTGGGCTTTGTCGCATGGAAGGGTTGTTTGAACCTATTGAGACGGTAACTGGCATGTTTGCTATCAGCCTCCAACCAAACTTGTGCTTTCCTCCTTAAGCACATCTGAGCCCATCACTAGATTCTGTTTGAATGACTCTGTGGAAACCAGTACTTTTTGGGACTTAATTTGGCAATAATTAATAAGGCTCAGAGATCAGGGTACCATGTGGCTTCCCATAATGGTGCTCTCTTTGGTTTCCTATTGTTTGGCATGCATTTATCTCAGTGTTTGTTTGTATGACTGGCAGTTTTTCTCTGCAGTTGAAGGAGCTGCATAAGAAGGGGGCAGACCTGTGTGTGCAGGACCCTGTGGGCCGCACCCTACTCCACTATGCTGTGGAAGTGGGAAGCAAGGAGATCGTCAGATACATCATTGATAATGGTAAAATGATCACATAACACATGTCTGTAACAGCTCTCAAAAGCCACTGGCATATACAACGTGACTTTGTCTTTGCAGTTTTTATGTCTGTAAGTCTCTTGTTATTTCTGTTTAATGATCAATTTAAAAGCTGCGTATGTGCTGTAGATCTTTGAAAGAGTAAAGTAAAGCTCTCATTGTCAGCAGTCGCTGTCTCTCTCAATTCTCAAATACTGTGAGGGTCGAAATGCCTAAGACTACTAGTGAAAACTATATTACATTTTTTGAATTTAATACAGTTTCTTAGCTACAAATGATATTATTAACAGTAATTTAAGTGAAACGTTGATTTGGTTACCATGAATGCAGTGCAGTATCATGTCAATTTTACGTCATAATGTTTTTTTTGTTTGTTTGTTTTAATTTTTTCAACATATTTTAAACTAATAATTTCTTCTTTTTTTAAACATTTGTTGTACAATGCCAGTAAAAGTTGGTTCACACCTACGTATTCTTTGCTATTTTTTAAAATGTGGAAAAGAAAAGAAAATCATCAAAACTATGGCATAAATGGATATTCTACATCTAGATTCTACATTTTGTTAGATACTACATTGTTTTGGCTTTGTGTAAAAAAAAAAAACTAGACATACATAACCAATATTTTTCTACAAAACAAATTTCAAACTTCCAGTCCTTTAGATCAACAGGTCTGTATCATAAGAAACACATTCAGGTATGTCCAAACTTTTGACTGGTATTGTTTGCTTTCAATTGCTGTTTTTTGTGTTATCTGTAGAGTGTGTGTGTGTGTGTGTGTGTGTGTGTGTGTGTGTGTGTGTGTGT